CCCAGGTCATCCTTTCTTATTTTAACACTGTCGTGTTAGTTTATATTCAGATCCAATTATACTCATGGAAAGTAAAGGCAGCCGGCGTGATGTTGGCCACATCGCTCATCAGAGACGATTGGTCTATCCAAATGTGAGCCTGGGTTACATGCCTTATGCGAGAATCACGTGACAGGTAGAAGGTTTTTGCTGACATGACATACTAATTAGCCTTAGGTTTCTCTGATTAGTAAAACAATCCCCTGCCGGCTTGCCAGGTCAGTCGTAGATTGAGAACCAAAAGGTTAGTCCATCGAAGTTAGACTAGCCAGACTCCCTCCTAGACCATGGCCTCTGAATTATATGGAAAAACCTTTGGCTAGAGGGAGAGAGAGAGAGAGAGAGAGAGAGAGAGAGAGAGAGAGAGAGAGAGAGAGAGAGAGAGAGAGAGAGAGAGAGAGAGAGAGAGAGAGGTTCCTAGGTATAGATCACCTGAGAACTATAAACAGCTGGGCAATAAGTAATTATATAATCAACATCGTCTTCACCATAATTATCAGTTGGCAGACATCGTAGGAAAATCCTGGACAGCTGGCCCTGAGTGTCTCAACACACAGAATTATTACTAAGTAACCACAGTCGTACATAACTGGATATGCTGGGTTTCGTCTGGCTGAGCCAGCCATTGAACCTACTAGTAAGACAAGGGGCAGATCAATCGAAGAACTACCAAAGCAACCAATCTATGAACAAATATAATTAATAAATCAATAAATAAAAAACAAAAACATGAATCAATACACCAATTACTCAATGAACCTAAACAATAATCAATCATTAAATCAAGTAACTAATATACCAACCAACAAACCATCCAGCCAATCAACCGGTCAGTTGAGTTACCACCCAGGTAACAAATAAATTAACCAATCGACACCACCTCAGCTCAACCAGCCAATCAACAGTCAGTCACTAAACCAACCAATTAAAGCTTCAACCAGTTGCCTGGAATTCTCGATGTCGTACACGTCGTTACATCGTTTCAATATGAAACTTGACGTTTTCCTGCAAGTTTTTAAACACATGAACCACTGAATCTGCCATAGTATAATTCTTCTTCTTCTTCGCGTTCATCTGCTGTAAACTTCGGTGGAGAGTTCTGGTTGTTCGTCCACTTCTGGACTCTTGTCCTGTTCCAGAAACTGAGTGTTGCTTGCACATCCGTTTCACATGTCTAATTCATTTGCATGCAGACTGCTGGTTCCTTGCCTCTCTGGCAGTTGCGCTCCGACTTCGAAGAAAGTTCCCAATCAGTCGACCCTGATGACACGCTTTTGGGCAGGCAGTGGTTACAGTATAATTATGTTATTGTTTCGTTTCTCGGCGAATATAAGGAACCTTTTCAAAATACCGAACTAAAGATAAAACATTATTTCGTGGCATATTTAATGATTCCACATTTTTCTCATGACTTACATTGTCTATTTTCCTGTCACTAACATTTTCCGAGGAAACTGACGGATTTTCCAAGATTAAAGGATATTTAGTATGATTGGAATCCTGAAAAAAGCCATCTTGTCCAGAACCAGTCGTCAAACATCCGATTTGGTTAGAGTTATCCGATAATTTTCTAGAATCGCTTGTCAGTAAAGAACTTACACATACATTATTCCCCAGTTTCGCTGATTGCCTTGAGTCTAATGTGGCATTACTTCCAGTCGACTTGCCCGGATAGAGACGATCTAGAAGATGATAGTGTTTGTGAAAAGACTGTTTTCCATTGATGGTTTTGGTCGACGAAATGACACCGAGGCTGCAACTTATACTTTCGCTGGGATTGTTAGCCTGCACTTCTGTGTTTGTAATTACAGACTGAGAGGCAGGAATCTCGGATTTAATACTGGGAATTTGTTGAACAACGGCGGTTTCGTTACAACTAACTACTAGTTTTGTCTGTTCGCAGTTCAGATCTTCCTGCTTATGTAAATAACAACGTGAACTAGATCGCTGAGAAGGCATAGTTCCATGGTTCGATGCCGTTTTCTCGATGCACACCAGTTTGTTATTTTCACTGACATTGATATCTTTTTCCATCGGGGTAGATGCTTTAGGATTATCAGGGGCGTTGTTAACTGAAGCATCTTTCAGTGGACATTCACTACCTGTTGTAAGATACGTGTGACATAACGAAGATTGAGAAGCTGTGTTTTCGTCTACAATATTGCTGTTGTTGTTTAAACGATCGATTTGTTTTCGACAGTTGCTCAACAGAAATTGCATTTCGTTGGTTAAGACAGCAGGTTTGTCACCAGCAGCACGCTGATTTTTTCCCATGCCGACGTCACACAAATGAGCGCGTATCGACGAATTGATCGCCTCAAGTTCGTGCGAACTTTTGTAATCAAACAATTCAAGGCTGGTAAATCCGTCATCCGTGTTACATGTTTTATTATTAATGGAAATATTTGTATTTTCTTTTTCATGACTAGTTGCTTGTTTTATTATTCTATCTGTTTGTTTCCTAGATCGTAGTTTCTCTGACGCCCATTCATTATCCTCCATGGCGTGACCAAGATAATTTACGAAACAGGTCGAGGTTTCATCAACAAGGTGTCCGTCTTCTCTATTGATGATCTGCCCATCAGGGTGGCGTCTTCCGGAATTTTTACGATAATGACAGGGGCCAGAAGCGAGTTGCTGGATCAATACTTGCCCACTAGTGGAACCCACTTCTCTTCTCTGGTTTTTTGTTACGTCAGACTGGCTGGAGAAACCTAAGAGGCTTTCCTCAGTTTCTTCAGAGGTTTCTGAAAACGGGAGAAGACTGTGAAATGAGTTCGTGACAGTATCCAGGCAACAAAGCTTGGCAAATGACAGGTTTTCGCAAACTTCACTGTCTGTGTCATGGTGTTTTGGGGCATCTTTGCCAGCAGCGCTTATTCTGGCCGAGAAGTTTGGAGCGATAATATCGTCATCTAATACCATTATCTCTTGCTTGTTTCCCAAGTGATTACCTTGTCTGTTGTCTAGCGCGTTTCCGTGAATAACATTTGAGGTTCTTGTAATTGGATTTTCCATCTTTGCGAGCAAGGGGCAGGGTTCACCCAATGAAATATCACTTGTATATGCGTGCCGTGGAAACCCCATGAAACACGATTCAGAATCTTTTGAATAAATTCCAGAATTGTAATAATTTCTATCCGATCTTAACCTCGGCCTGCTGCATAAATCAGCTGGTCTATCTTCTATCGGAGTTACACAAGGGTCCATCATCGCCAATCGCTGATAAACAATGATCTCTCGCACGTTCTGCATAGATGTCATCGTGGGGCCTGTGCTAAAGCTCGGAGTATCCCTTAACTGTGAATTTAGATTCAGTGGACATTTCTCACAACTGGACTGCTGACCAAGCAAAGAATAGCAGAGAGGGCTGATTTCGTTATCTGAGCTACCTGAATCTGAAGAGCAAGTAGTTTCAGATTCATCTACATATTCAAAGTCGAAAGAAAATCTAGTGTTGGAGTTGAGAGGCTTGGTGAAGTTGGCGCCTTCTGGAAACAGAAGACCAAGAAGATAACCGGCATCGTCAGAGAATCGATCGACCTGGAGTCTGTCAGTGGCGTTTCTGTGTTTCATCCGATCAGAAGTTTGTCTCCCCAATTGTAAGCTGCTGTTAGAAAAAGAAGAGCTCGTTTCATTAGCTTGGACCAGATTTAGCGTTTGGAGAGCTTCCCAAGGGCAGGCATTGATTTCCTCTAACAGACTAGTATTTCCATTCAGCTGATGAGAAAAACTTCCCGACTGCCTACTTTTCTCAACTAAATTGAGATTACTCTTTATACTGACATCTGATCTCTCTGTTATACAATCATTACATACTTTGTCTTGTTTGCTGACTTCCGACTCTTTTGTCTGTCTGTTATTAAAACTGTGTAATTCTAGACTTTCCAGTATTGTTTTTTCTTTTTCCTGTTTAGATTCTTGCTGTTTACAATGTATGGACTCAGGGACAACAAAGCGAGAGGCTCTAGTCCTGTCATCAGCGCTGGGCCGCCCATCTCCCCGTTGTTTGTTCTGCTGTAAAATGATGTAATTTTCCCCGACAACGCCATCAATTACCCGCAGCGATGACAGGAAATTTTCCAACTGTCTAATTCTAGACTCATTTTCACAGAATTCGATCCCTGTCGTTTGTGCACAGCTCGCATCTGAGCAACATTTCTGCGCACCCGGAAATGTGTCAGTCTTTGCTCCATGAGAACTACTTGACGTGAAAATTTGACCTGACAGTTTGCCTAGATTTATGCTTCTATCTTCAGCCTTATCTGAACCAGCTTGATTCAAATTGTTTAAGGCAGGCTGCACTTGAAACTGAAATTTGCTATGGTTGTTTCTGTACACAAAGTCTTCCAGACAATTAGCTACAGACTTCTGAGTTGTTTGATTGGAGCGATCTAATTCTGGACGTAAACAGCACAGTTCAAATACCTGCCCCTGGTCTGACAAACCAGGAGTACCCTGTTCATTTGTCTCTAACGAGCCAGACGCTTTGTCCGCAGTCGATAGATAGAAACCCAGGTTTTTATTACCAGCTGTGCAACCTTGTTCATCCAAACGAATGACTGAGCTTGGATCGATTGAAGGCGCAAGATGCAGCGGAATCTGGTTGACGTCAGAGATTCTGTCAGGGGCGTTTGGTAAAGTAGGGTGTGGGGTGCTCAAAGTGCCCCGATCAGAATGTAAAAGTGTACTGGTGTCTTTCTTGAAGATGTCCTTAGACGGCAGCTGTGATGGGGCTGCTAGGTAGCTGTTAGTTAAACACTGAAGGTGTGTGGCCTGGCACTGTGTCTCATCTAATGAAGTTACACCTGGGGGATCAAAGGTCATTGTCGAGTTTTTATCTTGTTTTTGGTCTCCATAAAAGTAAACATCAGGGCTTGGAATAAGTGGGCAGAAATGTCTGTCACATCCCACACAGGTCACAGGTCGACCCTGACATGTGATGTAAGATGAAATCACACTTACTGGAATATGCTCTATATTTGGAGACGAACAATCTCTAAATGTCACCGGTGGCTGCTCCACATGGCCCAGACAGAAGGAAACATCGGGCTGGTGTATGTCAATAGAATCAACACGGATGGTGTTGAGGGAACACGGTCGGGCCGTGTGAGGAACGGAGGAAGAAGACATACGACTGACCATCGCCAACGATGTTTCTAACTCGTTGATCATGTTGTCAAGAGAACTACATGTTTGTGTCCTGTCTTTGCAGGCATTCTCCATGGAGGCTGCGCTGGCTGCTTTGTTGATATTTCCTTCCAAGCTGGCTTTCTTATGTGACTCCTTCAGAATATCCAGTAGCAATGGGCGGCGTTCATCCCCAGAAGAACACTTGCTAGATGTATTAGATTTGTTCAAAGATGTTTTCCCGAAAGTTTTACCGGCAAATGTTGTGGATTCAAAAGCCTGGTACACGCTGTTTTTGTCCCGATAACTACTACCACTTTGGGAGAAAACAGAGAAGCTGTAGCCACTGATGTTTCCCGAACTGCAGAGGGAATCATCAGGGGTGTTGACTTGGACTGGCGCGTGAAAGAATCCTCCTCTGTTGCTGAAAGTTGGGCTGAGAAAGCTTGGCGACCAACCCGACTTTGAATGCTTAATGGGGAGGTAGGAGTCCCTAAACAGTCGCGATTTGATGTCTCTCATTTTAGTCAGATTTGGAGCGCTGTTCCATGGTCTTGGTTTGGACTCGCTATCGCCTCGAACTTTTTCTAAATCATAATCGCATTGTTCAATCTCCAAAGTGGACCCGTCACACGAGAGACGCAGGGTAATTTTGGAGGTTCTGGAGGCGCTAGTTCTATACACCGCTGTGGTTGTGGAGAATTCTGGAAAATCCACGTCAGCACTTTTAGAGGATCGCGGTTTGTGGCTACTGCTGAGGGACTGCTTACTGCCTCCTCGACCACTACAGGTTGAGATACGCCGGCTGATGTTGCTCCCACTGGCGCACTTGTGATGTTTGCGGATTTTCCGAGGACTGCACGAGCATCGGAAATCCTCTTTGTGTTCGACAGCTCTGACCTTACTTGTGGCTTGTTTGCTTGGTCGACAACCCATGACGGAGTCGTCTGCAAGAGAAGGTGGAAGTTTCCGTCTGCACTCTGGCACTCTGGTGGAGGTCTCTGCTGCAAAGATGAGACTCCAGGACTAGACTATACTCTTGAGACCTGCCATTCCAGAGCTGCAAGAAAGAAAATACACATCAAGACATATGACATGGGATTCCATTTAATGTTGAAATAATGGAGGTAAATGCACAATAGTGCAAGATAGTTAGGCCAGAAATGCTATTCCTGCTGCTGCTACTACTACCACTACTACTACTTCTTCTTCTCCTGTGTTTTTCTTATCCTCCTCTTCTTCATTCTTCTACTTCCTCTTCTGCTGCTGCTGCTGCTACTATTACTGCTCCTATTCCTTTTCCTCCATCTTATTCTTTTTGCTTCTTTCCATCCTCCCCACCATTCTCCACTTATTTTTTGCTCTTGCTCCTGCTTCATACTCTTAAAAACTTGTAATTTTCCCCTCCTTCTCTCCTCCTCCCTTCATTCATATACGACCACCGCAGCGTCTATGGCAACGTGTGATAGTTTTTTTATGTCAGCGTTTATGGCAACGTGTGATAGTTTCAGTATGTCAGCGCTTATGACAACGTGTGATAGTTTCTATATGTCAGCGCTTATGACAACGTGTGATAGTTTCTATATGTCAACGTTTATGGCAACATGTGATAGTTTCTTTATGTCAACGTTTATGGCAACATGTGATAGTTTCTTTATGTCAACGTTTATGGCAACATGTGATAGTTTCAGTATGTCAGCGCTTATGACAACGTGTTTGAGTTTCAGTATGTCAGCGTTTATGACAACGTGACCTTATTTCTCTATGTCAGCGCTTATGACAACGTGTCCTAGTTTCTATATGTCAGCGCTTATGACAACATGTGATAGTTTCTATATGTCCGCGCTTATGACAACGTGTGATAGTTTCTACATGTCCGCGCTTATGACAACGTGTGATAGTTTCTATATGTCCGCGCTTATGACAACGTGTGATAGTTTCTATATGTCAGCGCTTATGACAACATGTGATAGTTTCTATATGTCCGCGCTTATGACAACATGTGATAGTTTCTACATGTCCGCGCTTATGACAACATGTGATAGTTTCTACATGTCAGCGCTTATGACAACGTGTGATAGTTTCTACATGTCCGCGCTTATGACAACGTGTGATAGTTTCTACATGTCCGCGCTTATGACAACGTGTTTGAGTTTCAGTATGACAGCGCTTATGACAATATGTCCTAGTTTCTATATGTCAGCGTTTATGACAATATGTCCTAGTTTCTATGTGTCAACGTTTATGGCAACGTGTCCTAGTTTCTATATGTCAGCGTTTATGACAATATGTCCTAGTTTCTATGTGTCAACGTTTATGGCAACGAGTGATAGTTTCTATATATGCGGCTGTGGCTTAGGCGTTGCAAACGCGCTTCATAATTCTAAGGTGCCGGGTTTGATCCCAGCTACGGGTGATGTGGTAGTAGGAGACCTTGTGTTGGTTTCAACCATGGTATCGAGAGCGGACCATACATGAGTAAAGCTAAACTCTTGAACAGTAAAATTGCATAGTGAAATCTCGAAAAGCCAAAAATCCGTCATGGTTTCTTCTGCAACATCCTTTAAGGGTTACATAACTAACAATCCCGCCCCAAATCCTGAATATAAGCTGCAGAACTAAGAATTAAGACACCTGATCCAGACGACCTTGCATGCGGAGACGTTACTTGATAATGATAATAATTGTGACCCCAAGAAAGTTTAAAGTACCTAACTTGGAAAATAGGATATCTTTTATCTAGAAAAGGAGCACGTAAATTCACTGTCTGCACATGAAGAACCGAGGATGGGTTGGACGGCAGATAGTCATTAGGAATCAATGAGTCTGAAAAACGTTTCCGGAAATGAAGTTTGCACACGGAGATTGCACACCGCGTCTTCTTAATTAGACACGGACGCTATGTTTCAGAGGTTCCCAAACTTGTAGGCCCACTGCCCCCTTTTCAATGGAAAATCGTCCCCCTAGCCCCTTCCCCACCAACTTCAACCGCTCCTTCATTCTCCGCAAATATCTTCCTTATGTCGCGGGTTTACCAGTACGCATGTGCAGTTAGAATTTGTAAACTCTTTCTCTCTCCCTCCTTCTCTCTCTCTCTCTCTCTCTCTCTCTCTCTCTCTCTCTCTCAGACTGACAGACATACGGACATCAGAAAGACATCAGACAGACATACGGACATCATAAAGACATCAGACAGACAGACAGACAGACAGACAGACAGACAGACAGACAGACAGACAGACAGACAGACAGACAGACAGACAGACAGACAGACAGACAGACAGACAGACAGACAGACAGACAGACAGGCAGGCAGGCAGGCAGGCAGACAGACAGACAGACAGACAGACAGACAGACAGACAGACAGACAGACAGACAGACAGACAGACAGACAGACAGACAGACAGACAGACAGACAGACAGACAGACAGACAGACAGACAGACAGACAGAATGTCGGTGAATGGTTCTCGTGATAGGATGTAGTTAAGGGGAAGATATAGTTTTAAGCGACAAGGCTCGGAGTTCTGATTGTTACCCAGAAGATGAGAAAGGACAAAATAAGTGTCCAAGACAGACTACGGGATTTAGACAAAGGCAGAGACGCACAGAGAGACAGAGATAGAGAGATACATATAGAGAGATAGAGGGAGACAAGACCTTCGGGCTAACAAGCAAACATGTAGCCACTACCAGTGCCGACTGAACCTGTAGGGCACTTGTTAGGGGCCCCCACGAGTATAGGGCCCCATGTTAATCTGTGTATGTCAGATGACCACTTGCCGTAAATAAACACTTCATTTTTGTGAATGGTAGTTTTTAGTGCCCCGTGTTAATCTGTGTATGTCAAGTAACTCATTATGTAGCAGGTCCTTTGCAGAACGTCGCTCTCATCACAGTCTGCCTGAAAGAAACTCAGTCTCTCGCCAGTTCTCCCGCCTCATGAACTTTCATACTCAAGGAATCACTTACATCCTGTGCCCATCTTCGTGTCAGTCGGTTCCTGCCCCTTCTTTCTAGTACCAAGCCTTCTGCTATATTTTTTTTTCCAATCCGTCGTGGCTGTGTATTGCTGATCGTACTTCAGCCAGTAAAGGCTCTGGTTCTTTTTCATAACTTTCACAAGTCGTTTTTGAATTACCTGTCACATCCGCATACATTTCTCTACAGTATTCTTTCCATCTTTCTAATATGTTTTTAGTTTCTGTTAACGTGTTACCGTTTTTATCACTTATTACATGTAAAGAATGCAAGTGACAACGTGCCATTAATAAACACTTCATTTTTGTGAATGGTTGTTGCTAGGTAAGTGGAAAGACACTAACATAAGACAATCAGGCATTCAGTTCAACTACGTCCATGGCGACTGAGATCGCAGCTTTCGCAGGGACACTTGCATGGCTGCAAGAACAGAAAGCAGCTCACGGACTGAAGTGACAGACTCGGTGGACATGCTTAAGAAGATCTAAACTGGTAAGTTCCGAGTAGAATGGTTTGACACCACCAAGAGGGCCCGCCTCAAGAAGCAGCTGTGGGAAGAAATGAAAGAGCCGATAGACTCGCTGTGTCTGCAGTAGTTATTGGGGGAAGACGTATGGACAGGGCCAACATACTGAATGTGCTGCGTTCCAGAGAAGTTGAGGCAAAGGAGTCAGAGAGGATAAACTGGCTATTGGAAACTAATATTAAACAAGGACCAGCCTGCAGGAACATTTAGCAGCCTAAAGAAAAAATATACGCCAGTCAGCTCCTACAGGGTTCAGTGAGCATGGAGACTCTGAGATGGCTGCTGCATCGGAGGACGGGGCGTGAAGGGTCGGACCGAAGTGCTAAGATGTCGATACGAACAACAAACAAACCAGCTTCAGCTGTAACATTCTCTAAGTACAGAAATGACCGCGTCAGCACCTTCAAAAAGATCGTATGAACTGAAAGAGCTAATCGCACGAGCGGATTTCTTTAACTCATCAATCACTAAGGACAAATACTAATGGCTGTAATTG